ATGAGAGATTACTACTACGAACATACTTTTTTACCATTGCAAGATCACAGATGAGTTAATACAAATAATCATGAAAAAATTGACAAAAAAATATAATAATGATAATAATGATCTATGCAACTTATCAAAAAAAGTCGTAAATGGGTGAAAAGACAATACAGTAAAAAACCTGAGTATGATAGAGAAAACTAGAAATTAATGAGGTGATCGAGAATGCTACAAATTTTGAAGAGGCAAAAAAAGGTGTTGGTAAGAAGCTGAAAATGCTTGCTATTAGTGAGTGGCCTAGAACGAAGCTCAAAAAGCACCGACTCGCATAAAAATCAAAAATAAAACTTGGACTGAAATTTGTAAATTTTGGCCTCAGCGACCTTTTTGTGCCTCTCAGATGCAATTAAGTCCGGTTTTTTAAGGATTTTTTCTTTTCTTCCTCGTGCGCAGCATTCAAGAGTCAAATGAAACAGCACTTTTTCTTTTAATTATAACTAAGGCTGAGTTAATAGGAGGAAAGACACAGAATCGAAAGACACCGTAGCAATAGTACTCGGCGGCGTTTCACACCGGATCCGCTCTCATCCCAGTCAAGATGAGGTTGTACTGAAACCCTCGGAATCGAGGTACGCCTGTACATCGACCCATTCATGGTCATTTGCAGCACCACCATACGTTACCACCGACAGATCGTCATCTTTTAGACCATCTGAAAAAGGCAAACTATACAGAAACGAGCAAAAATATCTTTATCACGATTCAAACCTCAAAATGCTCCGTCCCTCACAAAAAGTGAACATAGAGGAGGAAATTTTTTGTCTTTTCACTTCTCAAAAAAAAAAAAAAAAACTTACAAAATCAATAAAATTACTAAATATGCGATTTAATGCAGACATTGAAGAAAAATACAGCAACTAGGCTATAAAACATTCCAGTAAACTAGTTCTGGAATAAATCGGCCCCGTCTGGAATCAAAAAATCGCTTGATTTTTGCATAAATCCAACGAGGAAGCTAACCTAAATCCAGCACACAGCCAACCTAAAGACATCGCGAAAAGGTATACGATTCGGGAACAAGTAAAAAGCACGTACCTGAGAAACTATTGTCTCTCAAGAGGTCGGTGTTTTCAGCGTCGGGGGCTCCAAAATTGGCCATCAGGTCGTTCAGTTCGCGTCCATCGAATCCTAGTTCTAAATCACTCGGGACCGATGATAAATACGGGTCCGAATCGTTCGCCATGGGACCCGGCATAGCTGGAACAAATAATACTTCGAAAAAATTAAACGAATAATTGCTATTGTATGCAGTGGAGAGCAGTAGATTATACGAGTTTGTGAGCATTTCAAAAGCTTGATCCTCTGCAAAAACGGCTGGAAGAAGGCGTGTTTGGGTGAAATTTGGCGAAAATCGAATGCAAATTCATCGCCAATCAACAATTTCTTACTTTCGTTTCCGTAGAAGGCGCCTCCCATCACCGGATTTGCATCGTTGATTATGATGTCCCGTGGCTGATAATACATGTACATTTCTTCGTGACCCGTTTGCACGTAAGATTGCTGCAGTTGCGGCAGGGGATTCTCTTGCTGTGTATAGCTTATCGGCCGCGCCTGCTCTGGCCAGTACTGTTGCTGAGCAGTTTCCCGGGCTTTCTCTTCTTCGGCAAGCTTCCTTTTCCGTTCCTCATAGTGGTAAGAGCATAAATCTGCAAGAAAAAAAATAGTTAATTTAATTATACCAGCATAATTAGGCACAGAAATGTGAACAGGCATAATCCATCCGTCCCCTCTTTCCCCTTCACTCTACAAAAGAATCCCAAATGGACTAATTGTCCCATTACGATGGGATTAACCTCTCAACTTTCATGCCCATCACTGGGAATTTTTTGAAAATGAAGTCCTTGTCCCTCAAAAATTTCTGAACTTTTCCTGAACTTCCCCCGTTACTGGTTCCTTAGTATTAGTCATAATT